GCCTGCCCTACTTAGTCAAGCAAAAGCCTGATATCATCATAGTCACAGAATCATACTTTTTTTTTATAATATTCCAGACTTTACCATCACCATTCCTGAATGTGTTCTCTCTCACTGGTAGCACAGGCTATAAATGGGGGCACCACAGCAGCATATCATTGAGTAAGAGTGGTCTCTGGGGTCTTAAACATTGACTCAGAAGTTTATGAAGATCAAACATAGGAAAGAAAGTCTCCAGCTGATTGCGTTCGTTGATACATCTGTACTACTCATGTTGACTACCACTTGGAAAAAGCATAAAAGGTAGCATAAATATAATGTACTTTAGGTGAAAATGTTAATGTCCATCATCAAAACTTTGTAACAACTGCTGCTGACTGATTTAAATAAGTCCTGAGGACATAAGGGTGTGATAAGGGAATTAGCAAGAGGGTGGGGTGCATAGGGGTTATGGGGCGGGAGGAGTGTAACTTTGTTCTCATCAATTTACCTGTCACAGATTAACCTGTTCATGACAATTTTGGAAGGAGTGAAAATGCAGTCCTTGCAGAAACCAAGTTTGATGTTCACACTGAGGACACCCTCCAGAATATTGTGTGAGACTACAGCAGTACTAAAAGGGGAACGGTTCACAACAAATCTAGTATCTTGAACTACCCCTTTTATAGCATCAGAATTATTGCGTCTCCCAACGTCAAGGTCGCGAGAGGTCACTGTTGGCCTGAAACCCAGTTAGAGTGTACACTAAAATGCTGTGGCTGTAAGAGCAGATTAAAGAATGTGTATTCTATGGTGAGTGACTTGCCAAACCTTTCCACCATCTACAAAGTCAGGAATGTGATAGGGTACAATCCACTTGCCTGGATGAGTGAGGTTCCACCTAAGAAGCTTAACACCATCCACGATGACTGACCTACAGACACTCTCTATATAACTCACTGCACCACCAGTGCACGTTGATAGCAACATGTATCATATTAATGTTGCACAGTAGAAATTCACTAAATCTCCTTCAACAGCACTTTTTCTAAACCGCTGCTCACAACCCTACCATCTAGAAGGCAAGGACACTGAATACAAAGGAGTAGCATTAGCTGCAACTTTCACTGGAAGCCACTTACTATCCTGACTTAGAAATATATTACCATACCTTCACTGTCACTGGATCAAAATCCTGGATCCCTCTGTAACAACATCACATGGTCTGCAGTAATTGAAGAAGACCGCTCACCACCACCTTCACCAATTAGTGCTGGGAGCACATGCTGACATAACCAACAATGCCCATGTGCTGTGACAGGAAGTAGGTGTGGAGTGGGAATAATTGGCCAACTTGTCTGAGAGGCACCACTGGCAAATGTCCTTAATCCGTGCAGCATGACTGTGTTTTACACAGGACCGTGACTGAAGTATACACAATGTTGTCATAAATTGGTGTGCTTCATTTTAGAGCCTTATAAGGTTGAGTTGTTTTTAAACTTCTTGTGGTTAGAAATATGAATGTCACTCACACTAGACCACCATCCTGCATGCCTAATCGAACCATGAAGCATCAACCACATCGCTGTTAGACAAGAGACACTTTGGTCAGATTACCACCAAAGTTGTCAGAAAATAGTTTCAATGTCAGATTTCGTATAACCTGGTCCGAATGGGTGAAACATGGGTCATGTTTCATTTGCTCAATGAAACATGAAAATCAGTTTGATGTTTATTACCTTCCCTGCTCCTGTTCTCTACGAGTGCCTCTGAGTGATCATATGTTTGGGTCTGTAGCACCACCTGAAGCACTGTGAAAGCAAGACAAGCCTGCAGAAAGACACTTGCCCTATGCCTGTTGAAGTTTTCTTTTGGAAATCTTGAGATGGAAATACGAACTGAAGAATTAAAGTACTGCTGAAAATAGGTGCATTTTGTTGAAGCATTTTGTCTTTCACTCAACAGGATATTTGCAATACCAGTACGTATATGTAAAGGAAGAATGTGTTTGGTTGGTTGGCAAGTAGACTCTAATTGGTAGAGGCGTTGCCATGGAGAATCCACCAGTTAGAAAATGACAAACTGTAATGTGCTTATGTTTGTTCAAATTTAACCTCATTAGGTTGCCCCGATAGGCCAAGGCATTGCTCTGAAGAATAGCCAGAAAATGGTTATTGCTTGTTCTTTAAGTTGAACCAGCTGCTCTTTGTGTACATGTTCTTTCTGTCTGCAATGTATAGGGCCCTATTTATTAATAAATGCATTTAGCAGTACACACAATGGAGCAGACTGTAAATCTGACTGATTATTTTGAACTGTCAACAGTATAATTCTAAATACACAGGATTATTTAGTAAAAAAAAAATTCTCTAATCATGTAATTGCAAGTAATGTTAGATGCTGTCTGGTGTTTTGCAAACGTGGGTTTGATCGGAATAGATGGTAACTGCTGCAAAAAACTGAAGGGATGTTCTGGCCCATATGATCTGCCAGTCTTTAGTACATACAACCTCTATACCTGAGATCACCCTGCCATTGAAATTCATATGCCACATTACTCATTTTTTGGCTTGAGAGCTACATCCTGTTAATGGCAAGCACCACTCCTGTTGCTCCTACATGATAGCAATGTGAAACAGCTGAGGTTTGGTTTTCTTTTGTTGTCTTCACAAACAGTCGATGTACATGTACAATAGACAGCACTTGCCAATAACTGTTGAAAAATGCAGTTTGACAAGCTGGAGCAGGGCCGTAACATCCAAGACCATTCTGCCCTCAGCTTTATAGATACTTTGCAATAAATATGTGCTTGAAAAGAATGGGGCACATTTTGCCTAAAAGGGGAAATTTATAGAAGAATGAACCAAAGGTCTTCTACATATCCAAATGCTAAGTTTAGAATGGCTGATGACAGAACATCATCAAGATGAGGGTTAGAATGCAGAAGCCAATACATAGACATTTGTTTAGATAGTAAGTACTGTCGATGCTGGAGTCAGAGATAACACAGTGTGGAGCTGGATGAACACAGCAGGCCAGGCAGCATCAGAGGGGCAGGAAAGTTGATGTTTCGGGTCAGGACCCTTCTTCAGAAGGGTCTGAAGCTTCTGAAGAAGGGTCCTGACCCAAAACATCAGCTTGCCTGGCCTGCTGTGTTCCTCCAGCTCCACACTGTGTTATATCAGAGATATTTGTTGATTCTTTTCCATCCCTTGAATCTCCTTGTATATTAACTTTAATAAAACAGCGTGAGCTTTTATATTTTACTCTTGAAGAAATTTGTCTTGGAGTACGCTATCAGTCAGTTGAAAGATTGTCCCCAGTCTCTGAGACGATGTAGAGGAGACCAAGCTTTGTGGAACAGTTGGATTGCAAAACCATTTATGAGATGCTGTCATGACTCTGGCAGTAAATGTATTGATCTTGATCCTTGACGGCTAAAACTTGCAAACCTATTGCAGTTTTATTTTATAAATATTAGATGTGTTTGTATCATTGCACTCAGGTTACCTTATGTTTCATAAGCTTGGGCAGCATTGAAATTCTACTGGGCAGCACTGCTCTGGGGCATTCTTGATGCCTCCAATTAACTTCATTCACTCAGATGAAGCACTGTAACTGTTTTAAAATATTTTACTTCGTTTTAAAAGTCATGCTATTGGCACTTTGCAATCTTGAATTTCTATAAATGTAGATATCTCTCAGCAATGCCACTAGGGAGGCAATGGCTTAGTGGTATTGTCAGTGAACTGTCAATCCAGAGACCTAGGTAATGTTCTGCGGACCTGTGTTTGAATTCTGCCATGACTGATGGTGGAATTTGAATTCAATAAAAGTAAGTCTGGAGCTAAGGGTCTACTGATGACCATGAATTTATTGCCGATTATTGGAAAAACTCATCTGGATTCACTAGTGTTCTTTAGGGAAGGAAACTGCCATCCTTACCCAATCTACACTACACGTGACTCCAGACCCACAGCAATGTGGTTGACTCTTAACTGCCCTCTGGGCAATTAGGGATGGATAATAAATGCTGGTCTAACCAGTGACACCCATATCTCGTGAATGAATTTTTAAAAAATGCGACGGAAGGTTACCTGCAGCATGATAAAAGTAAAGTCTTACCAGACCATAGGGCTGCTCTGTCATTAGAGTGAGATGACTGGTTGTAGTTTAACCTGAGGGTCACCATTCCTGAGGTGAGGGAAGAGGTTGAGAAGAGGAGAGGTCTTCATGGTAACCTCAGCCAGTACAAGAATTGAACCCCACTGTTGGTGTCACACTGCATCACAAGCCAGCCATCCAGCTAACTGAACTAATCAGCCCCTAGCATGATTGAAGAACAAAGACAAGGAAAAGAGAATTAACTGGCTAAAGTTACACAGATCCCCTTTTTAAGGTTTCATTTCTCCCTGCTATAGAAACCAATAGCTGCCTGTGAACTTCTTGGTTTTAAAAAAAGCTTGTGCTTTTATAGCACCTTTTCCTGATTGTGGAATTTCCCAAAGAATTTTACAGCCCTTGAAGTGTAGTTGCTGTTGTAACGCAAGAAATGCAGCAGCCAAATTTCACAGTAAACTCTCAGAAATTGGGTTGTAATCACGATAATTTATCTCGTGATGGCTGAGGATATCAGGGATAATTCTGCTTAATGTTACTTCAAAGAGGAGCAGGCATCATTTATAACCACAGGAGAGTGAGTTGAAGCCACAACCTTTGGACTCCGTGGCAAGTGTGCTACCAATTGAGTTTCAGTTGATAAGACAGCCTGCTTTAATGAGTCTCAAAGATCCTCATCCATTCACATTGGTGGGTGCATTCATGTTTGGTACTTTTGAAATGCGTGATCTGAAAAATTCAAATCTATAGTACCCATATCCAATTGGGCTCTAAATTCATGCCAGCAGAAGCATTTAGAAGTTTCCCAAAATGGGAACTTGATAATACAACTCATGTTTCAGCTGACAGTCGTAAAGTTTAAATGCTTACTTATGTTTTATTAATCTTCTTCAATTTTACAGCTCTCCATTGTAATCTTAACCAGAATGGTGTGGATCATGCTGTTTGCACCGAAGATGTGAGCGTGCAGGTACTTGGTGATCCAGAAGTCTTGAATTCAAATGATGAAAAGATTTTAAGGATAGAATCAAATGGTAGTCCAAAGAGTCTTCATGTGTCAGAAACTGAATCAGTGAAGGTAAGTGTGGTTGAAATTAGATGTCCAACTCAATTGCTCCTTACCCCAAAAAACAAGCCAATAAAACTTAATTGGTACATTTGAAACTGTATGGTCTTGTAACACCTGTGCTAGTTGGCCAAAATTTTTTTTTAATTTTATTTTAGTTTGCAACATGTCAATAAGGCTAAGAATAGGAAGATTGTACAGTTAAATACATGGCTAAAGAGATGGTGTAGGACAGAGGGGTTCAGGTATGTGGATCATTAGGATGTTTTCCAGGGCAGATGGGACCTGTACAAGGAGGACAGGTTGCTCCTAACCTGAAGGGGAACCAATATCCTGGCAGGCAGATTTGTTCGTGTCACTCAGGGGGCTTTAAAATAGTGTGGCGGGGGAAGTAGAGCAGTAGGTCAGCAAATGAAGTGATCAAGGAAGAGCTAAACCTAAGGCCAATAATGCTAAGAGGAAAAACCGACAGGGAGAGTTTACTGAACACAGTGGGACTGGCAGTCTCAAATGTATTTATTTTAACACAGAGAGTATGACAGTTCAGGCAGATGTACTTAGAGCTTGGATTAGTACATTTAGCTATGATGTTGTAGCTATTACAGAGACTTGGCTGAGAGATGGACAAGACTGACAGCTTAATGTTCTGGGATTTTGATGTTTTGGGTGATAGACAGGAATGTAACAGAGATAGTGAGTTGCATTACTAATTAGGAAGAATATCACAGCAGCACTGAGGGAAGACACCTCAGATGGCTCTTCCAACTAGGCCATATGGGTAAAGCTGAGGCATAGGAAGAGTGCAATCACTTTGGGGTTGTATTACAGGTCTCCCAATAACCAGAGGGCGATAGAGGAACAGATACACATACAGACTATGAAAAAATTTAAAAGTAAAAACAGGGCTGTTGTGGTGGGTGATTTTTAACTTTTCCTACATTGGCTGGGACTCCTTTAGCTCCTGGGACTTGGACTGAGGGGAATTTTTAGGTCCATTTCTTGAAGCAGTATGTAAATACCCCAACCAGTGAAAGGGCCATACTAGACCTGTACTGGGGACTGAGCTTGGCCCAGTGATTAAAGTTTCAGTGGGGGAGCATTTCGGGAACAGTGACCATAATTCTATAAGTTAAGTTACTTATGGATAAGGACAACAGTAGTCCTTGGGTGAAAGTGCTAAATTGGGGGAATGCCAGCTATGACAATATTAGGCAGGAACTCGAGAATGTAGATTGATAGTAAATTGACATCTGTCATGAGGCAATCTTTTAGAGTTCAGAACCAGCATGTTCCTGAGAAAATGAAGGGTAAGGCTGGCAAGATTCAGGACCTTGATGACAAGAGAAATTATGAGCTTAGTTGAAAAGAAGGAGGCATACATTAGGTTTAGTAAACTGAAGACAAACAGAGCCTTCAAAGAATGTAAAACAAGCAGGAAAGAACTTAAACAAGGAGTTAGGAGGGCTAAAAGGGGCCATGAAATATCCTTGGTAAACAGGATTGAGGGAAATCCCAAGGCATTTTATATGTTAACAAGGAGCAAGAAGGTAGCTGGGAAAGGATAGGTCCACTCAAGGAGGGAATTTATGCGTGGAGCTAGAGGAAGTGGGTGATGTCCTTAAAGAGTACTTTGCATCAGTGTTCACAAAGGAGAAGGACATGATGGATAATGAGTCTAGAGAGGGGTATGTTGATATTCTAGGGTATGTTGATATAAAACAGGAGGAGGTGTTAGGTGTTTTGAAGAATATTAAGGTAGACAAGTCCCCAGGGCATGATGGGATCTATCTCATATTGAGGGAGACAAGGGAGGAAAATACTTGGATAACAAGGTGTAGAGCTGGATGAACACAGCAGGCTAAGCAGCATCAGAGGAGCAGGAAGGCTGACTTTTCGGGCCTAGACCTTGTTATCTCAGATTCTCCAGCATCTGCAGTTCCTACTATCCCAGGAAAATACTTGAGCCTTGTTCAAAATCTTTGTACCCTCTTTAGTCACAGGAGAGGTCCCAGGGGACTGGAAACAGCCAGTGTTGTTCCTTTGTTTAGAAAGGGATAATCCAGGAAGTTACATGCCTGTGAACTTTGCATCAGTGATAAGGAAATCATTAGAGAAGATTCTTAAGAACAGGATTTACTCACATTTGGAAAAATATGGACTTATTAGTGGTAAACAGTTTGGCTTTGTGTGGGGGAAGTTGTGTCTGTAAAATTTGATTCAGGTTTTATGAGCAAGTGACAAACATGATTGAGGGCAGCGTGGTGGATTTTGTCTACATGGACGGTAGCAGGGTCTTTGACAAGGACCTCATGATAGGCTCATAAAGAAGGTGAAGTCACATGGGATCCACAGAGGGCTGGTAGGATGGATAGAGAACAGAATTGATCATAGGAGACGGAGTAGAAGGCTGTTTTACTAACTGGAGATCTGTGACCAGTGGTGTTCCTCGGGGACCATTGCTGGGACCCCTGTTGTTTGTAATGTATATAAGTGATTTTGGAGGAGAATGTAGGTGGTCTGGTTAGTAAATTTGCAGATGATGCAAAGAGGGGAGAAGCTGTAGATAGTGAGGAGGATTGCCAGAGGATACAGCAGGATATAGAAAGGCTGGATACTTCAATGGAGAAATGGCAGATAGAATTTAATCCAGACCAGTGCAAGGTGATGCATTTGGAATGCAGGAGGGAAGTATACAGTAAATGCTAGAACCCTTCAACATACAAGAGGGATCTAGGCATACAGGTCCACAGTTCCTTGACAGTGGTAACACAAGTAGGTAAGATGGTCAAGAGGCATATGGCATAATTGCTTCATCAGTCGGGGCATAAAGTATCAAATTTGGCAAGACATGGTGCAGCTGTATAGACGTTTAGTTAGGCCACATTTGGAATATGGGGTACATTTGGGGTTGCCACACTACCAGAAGGATGTGGAGACTTTGGAGAGGGTACAGAAAGGTTTAAAAGGATGTTGCCTGGTTTGGAGGGTATTAGCTTTGAGGGGAGATTGAACAAACTTGATTAGTTTTCACTCGCATATTGGAGGCTGAGAAGTCTTTGTCTTTTTGCCAGGATAGAAATGTCGTATACTAGGGGCCATAGGTTTAAGCTAAAAGGGAGAAAGTTTAAAGGAAATGCAAGAGACAAATTATTTTTTACGCAGAGGATGGTAAGTGCCTGAAATGCACTGCCAAAAGAGTAGAAGCAGATACAATAGCAGTGTTTCAGAGACATCTTGACAGATACGCGAATAGGCAGGGAATAAAGGCATATGGTCCATATAGAGGCAAAAGGTTTTTAGTTTAGAAATGTGTCATGTGCAGGCTTAGTTGGCCGAAGGGCCAGACCCTGTGCTGTGGTGTTCTTTGTTCTGAATGTTCCTTCTAATTTAAAGTATGCTTAGACAGAACATAAATGTAGGAGTAGCTCACATGACCCTCAAGCCTTTTCTCCTATCCTGTAAAAGCAGGGCTGATCTTCAATCTCAACTCCAACTGGATTTCTAGTATCACTCAGTACTCAAATCTATTACCTCAATCTTAAATGTACTTCTTGTCTGAGTATTCACAGGTATCTAAGGTACAGAATTCCAATGATGATCAACCACAAAGTGAGACATTTCTTCTTAACTTGATCAAAAATGGTTGACCCCAATCCCAAGACTATGCCTTCCAATGCTAGACTCTCCGGCCAGAGGAAATAATCTTTTAACACCTACCCAGCACAGCTCTCTTGGAATGTTGTGTTTCAGTGAAATCATCTCTCATTCTTCTACACTATAGAATGTATACCTTTTCTGTGTCATACCTTCTCCTATATGACAACCCAGAAATTCACCTAATCAACATTTGTTGCACTCCTTGTAAGACAAGTACATTTGTCCTTCACTGAGGAAACCAAAATTGTATAGCATACTCCAGTTGTAGTCTCATCAAAGCCTTGCACAACTGAAACAAGACTTCCTTAACCTTTCTTAGGTTAACTCCCATGCAAAATTCGACAAAGCATTTGCCTTTCCAGTTGCCTGCTTTATCTGTTTTGAATGACATACCCTAGGCTGTCAGGTGGAGATTAATCCTTACAATGGAGTTTGTAAGGTTTTGCATTTTGGTAAGGTGAACAAGGGCAGGACTTATACAGTTAATGGTAGGGACCACTGTAGTATTGTAGAACCATCAGACCTAGGAGTTCAGGATATTGTTCCTTGAAAGTTATGTCACAGGTAGACAGGGTGGTTAAGAAGGCATTTAGCACACTTGCCTTCACTGCTCAGACCATTGAGCGCAGGAGTTGAGGTGCTATGTGGCAGTTGTATAGGACGTTGATGAGGCCGCTTTTGGAGTACTGTGTTCAGTTCTGGTCACCCTGTTGTAGGAGGATATTATTAAATTGGAGAGGGTGCAGAAAAGATTTACAAGGATGTCACTGGGACTGGAGGATCTGAGTCATAAGGAGAGGTGGGGTAGGCTGGGGCTTTTTTCCCTGGACCATAGGAGGTTGAGGGGTATCCTTTATTATCATGTGTACTCAAGTACAGATGTACAGGGGTACAGTGAAAAGTTTGATAATATTGCCTCTTATGGCGCCATCATAGGTACAAGTACCTAGGTACAAATCTTAGACACAAAACGAGGAATAAAAAAGAGATAACAAAGTGTAGAGCTGGATGAACACAGCAGGCCAAGCAGCATCAGAGGAGCAGGAAAGCTGACATTTTGGGCCTAGACCCTTCTTCAGAAAGAAGGGTCTGAAGAAGGGTCTAGGCCTGAAACATCAGCTTTCCTGCTCCTCTGATGCTGCTTGGCCTGCTGTGTTCATCCAGCTCTACACCTTGTTATCTCAGATTCTCCAGCATCTGCAGTTCCTACTATCTCTGAAACAATAAAAAGGAGTAGTTGCATTACAGAAATAAGATATAGTTAAAAGGATAGTCATTACAGTCATATAAACAAATTGCACACAAACATTACGTTGCAGTAGCTCAGCGCAGGGGCTTCCCTATGTGGTCTGATAGCCCACGCCAGACACCAGTCCAACTACCGTTCCACTCATCCCCAAGCCTCCAGTCTGCTCCACACCGGCTCTTAGCTGCTCTGGGGTAAGTTTTCTCCGTTACAAAGATTTATAAAATCATGAGGGGCATAAATAATATGAATAGCAATGGCCTTTTCCCTAAATCTGAGGGAGTTTAAAACTAGAGGACATAGGTTCAAGAGGAGAAAGATTTAAAAGGGAGCTGAGAGGCAACTTTTTCACACACAGGATGGTTCATACGTGGAATGAATTGCCAGAGGAAGTGGTAGATGCAGGTACGGTTACAACATTTAAAAGACATTTGGACAGGTACATGAATAGGAGAGGTTTAGAGGGATGTGAGCTAAATACTGGCAAGTGAGACTAGTTTAGCTGGAGAAGCTTGGTCAGCATGGACGAGTTGGACTGAAGGGTCTGATTTCATGCTCTATGACTCCATAACTTAAACTTTTATTAACAGAGATGTACATTACAAACATGCACCCTCAGATCCAAAATTCAAATTCAAATTCAAATCCAACACAGTTTCATTCTGCTCCCACACATAGTGAATCCCCAGTTAGTGCCCAGCTCTCACGGCGCAATGGTAGTGTCCCTGCCTCTCGGCCAGGAGATATGGTTCAAGTCCCACCTGCTTCAGAGCTGTATTGTAACATCTTCGAACAGGTTGATTTATATTACAATGCCCAGCACCTGAATAAATTTACATACCAAATTAATATGCTATTAACAATGAACACCAATATTTTAAAGTTACTTTCCAGTTTAAAAAAAGTATGCTCTTCTTTTCTTAATAAGAACAGAAATAACCTTACAGTTCCACTGCATTGTTTTATTCTCTCAACTTGAATTAAAATTAGGGTTACCGTCACTAACTTTGTTTTTTATCCAAGCTTCATACATAACAACTTGAATAAAGAGGCTGATTAATAATGATTGGAGACGCCGGTGTTGGACTGGGGTGGACAAAGTCAGAAGTCTCACAACATCAGGTTATAGTCCAACAAGTTTATTTGAAATCACAAGCTTTTGGAGTGTAGCCCCTTCGTCAGGTGAAGACTTCTATGCTCCGAAAGCTTGTGATTTCAAATAAACCTGGTGGACTATAACCCGATGTCGTGTGACTTCTGGCTGAGTAATAATAGATTGAGAGAGGTCAGCTCTGATCCTGATAGTACCCAACTAGCAATGGTCTAGCAAAGGGAAATGAGCCAATTTTTTTTTTCTTTTTCTGCTTTCTGTCCTTCAATCAATCCTGCATTTATGCTCATGTCTTACCCCACCCCACTGACCTTGAGCATGTGTGACAACCTTTTGTGTAACCTATTATCAAAGGTCTTTTAAAAATCCAAAAATGCCAAACTCAGGTTCAAATTTACCAATTAGTTTGAAACTGGTGACTGCCTTGAATATCAATGTCCTTTTTAGAGAATATCTGCCACTATATTAACTGAGGGTAAATGGGTTGAAAACTTGGACTACAGATCTCAATGTGGTTTAAATCAAGATACAAAGTGAAGAAATGGAAACAAGTAAAATGAAGTGATGAACACAAAATTGTTGATGCTGATATTTTTCTTTCTGACCTGTCTGTTGGTAACAACAATGGACAGAACAATTTTCTTTAGTGGAGAAGTGCAAATGGCCCAGGTCAGAAATAATATTGAAAAATTACGTTGGACAATAGGTATGCAATGACAAATATTGTTATGTAAAAATAATATGTTCTAAAATAAACGAATTATCTGGTATGCATTACATTTGCCCATCCAATTGGCTTAAAGATTGTAATTAATAAGTGCTGTTTTTGGAAGTGAGCATGGGGAGCACAGCGCCATTTATGCTGCAACAAGTTGTGGTGAGTTTTTTACTTGACCAGTTGTTGGTGTGTTGGAAATGCTTTCACATTGCTGGGAAGTTCCAGGACTTTGGCTAAATATTTAGTTAAACTTGATTGTGACCTGAGGAATAGTTTGAAAAAGATGAGGCATTCCAGAAACCCTTACAGCAATAACTCTGATCATCTTTAGGATAATCTACAAAATAATGTTGTATACAATGCTTGGAAAGAAAAATTGAGCTTACGAGCAACCTCACTAAGGAGTAGGTAAAGACAATTATGGTTGCTTTAAAATGTTTCTTTGTCTCTGATATGTTCCTGGAATTGTGTAAAGGAAACCGAACCTTCAAGAAACTTGTGATGTAGGTAGGGATTATGAGCTAGGAGATGATATTGTGATGGATAAATAGTTAATTTTACAAACAAAATTGAGGCTGGTCATGAATGTAAATTGTGTTGAAAGAATAGCTGTTAAAAGGCTTGTGATTAAAGAGCAACAAATGACAGAAGTTGAATGTGTTTGAATGTCATCCATCTGTAAAATTAATATCTGTAGTTTGAGATGCAGAAATAAAGTCACTTACAATCAAAACTGGCAAAAGGATGATGTGAGCTTTGGCATATTCTTGTGGGACCTATCATACACTACAAAGTACTTAAGTTGAGAATTCCACATCTCCTGGTAGTTTTTAGCACAAGCACAATGTATTTGTACATGTGCCCTTTCATTGCAAAACTGGAGAATATTTCTTGCTGATGGAGATGGTGAGAAGGAACAGATACTTAGACTTCCTTCTGTTCTTACAAGGTTTCTTGTGGTATGAGCAGGTATGAATTTTAGTCTAAAATTTATCTAACAGATATACCTCTAGTATTGTTTGATCCATGATGTTGGGTCTGCTAGGATCTCTTGGCTGTAAATAAAAAAATTAGAGAGCATGTTGACAATACTGAAATCAATGAAACCTGTCCACAGGTTGGAGTCATACCCAGCACAAAGGGAAATGAGCGTGGTTGTTCAAGACCAATCATTTGACTGAAGACATCATGCTGAAGTTCCATAGAGCAGTATGCTGAGCCCTACTATTTTTAATTAATTAGTGATATTTCTTTTCCTCACATCATCGGATCAGACATGGACATGTTTGCTGATGATTGCATGACGTTCGTAGAAGTGTTATAGAAAAAGCACAAAGCCGGTTTTGGATATAATTGCAGAATTATTTAGAACTCCTCAGATGCTGCCACAGCCATTGCCAATATCTCCTCTCTTCAAACACGTCATGAATTTGAATATCACTATTAAGTTTAACCTCAGCCTTCTTTTCTCCAAAGAAATAGTCCCGCCTTCTCCAGTCTGTCTTCATAACTGAAGATCCTCATCCCTGGTACCATTCACATGAATTTTTTAAAAAGCAGGCAATATTTCAGCTACACAATTACCAGCTGGTAAGCACCTTCAACAGGGCATGAGATTCACTGGCATCACTATGACCAAATACTCCACCATGAAAAACCTGGGGTTGTTTTTGTCTAGCAACTCAATATCAGAATCCCCAAGGCCTCATCACTAACTACAGGTCACAAGTGTGATGGAATATACAATTTGGGCAAGCATCAAAATTTGAGATGGTCGGCGTCATCGAGGGGAGAGCAGGCTGCACTCCCTCCACCACCAGCAGACCATGGCTGCAGTGTGTACCACCTGCAGATTTCTTCCTTCAGACTTCTCAAACAGCACCTTCAAACCTGTGATCTCCACCTTCTAGAAGGTTAAAACCTTCAGGGGAACTGGAATATCATCAAACCCACTGCCTTCTCCAAAATGCATGCCATTCCGAATTGGACTATATTGTTCCTTTACCCTCACTGGTCCAAAAATCAACTCTATTATTCTCATAACCAGCTTCTTGATTTCTTCAGGAAGATAATTTCTTTCTCTAGAGTGAAGTTCTTCTTCCTCTACACCAACCCCCCCAAACAAATCAAAATCACACTGGGAGCTGGTTCAACTCGAAAAGCTAATGGGGTCCAGGAATGTCTGGCCTGTGATCCATGGCAATATAATTCTCCAGGTGAAAGCTGCAGTTGGATTTGGCAGCAAACAGTGCACGCTAGCAGAGTGCTTGGACCCCAGATTGGTGCTTAGAATTGCAATAGCAGTGAGTTTTGAAGGGTGCCCAATGGAATATGATTACTGATCCAGATATCTCCTTTCAATAAACTTCTGAAAACCTAGAGACACTGTGTATTTGATCTTGTTTGTGTTTTTTTTAAGCTATCTCTAGAAGATAATTGGGAGTCCAGGCAAAGAACTAAACAGCCATTTTCTTTAAGATTTTTTTTTCTGAACTTCCTTCATGCTTACTGTGGGATGTTAGGAGAACCCTGTGGAAATTCTACCTTAATATATCACAGGTACACAGTGCATCTCCATAGTGCTCACTGTCATTGTGCTATACCCAGCATAATGTCTGAAACTACAGTACGGCCTCTGTATTTCATGCACTTGTAGTTAAAACATACGAGCAGTGTTGCCTTCTCAATAAAGACCTCCCTTGTACGTGGCCCAGGATAATTAGGATAGACCAGAGCCCAAAAACTGGGCCTGTCAAGAGCCATAAGATAAAGGAGCAGAATTAGGCCATTCAGTCCGTCGAGTCTGCTCTACTTTTCAATCATGATGTTTCTCAACCCTGCCCCCCCATTCTCCTGCCTTCTCCCTGTAACTTTTGATCCCCTTACTCATCAAAAACCTGTTTATCTCTGTCTTAAATACACTGTCAATGACTTGCCTCCACAGCCTTCTGTGAAAATGAGTTCCAAAGTACACCATCCTCTGGCTGAAGAAATTCCTCCACATCTCAGTTCGAAAGGATGGAGCTCTGAGCTTGTGTTCTCTCCCACTAGTGAACAAAGAACAATACAGTGCAGGAACAGTCCCTTCGGCCCTCTGAGCCTGTGCTGACACGTTTTGCCCTGGCATTCTAAAACTGTCTTCACCTATAGGATCTGAATCCCTCTATTCCCTTCCTATTCATGTAGTCATCCAGGGGCTTCTTGAATGCTAAATAAAAACCAAAAGAACTGCGGATGCTGTAAATCAGGAACAAAAACAAAGTTGCTGGAAAAGCTCAGCAGGTCTGGCAGCATCTGTGGAGGAGAAAACAGAGTTAACAT